TTCGTGCACGTACGTGCACGGAAACGGGCGCTAAAGGCCCCGTGAGTATATGCACTCCTGGGCATTTTGCGGATGGTAGGAAGCAGGCACAGAGATGAGACAAATGTCTTTCAAATCTCCGTAATTAGATCTTTCCAATGGTATCTGGCTCATCTTTCTAGGACCTTCCTACGCGAAGCTGTGAGCCAAAATGCACTCGTCAAACCTCTAGTAGATGGCCTCAAAAATAAAAGCAAGGCCACAGTGTAAAAAAAATTAATAACTTCCTTCAGGAATAAGCCAACCACTTCAAACTTTGTATAGATGTAAAGCAAGTATCTGTGAAGAGATGTGCAAAGTTTCGTGCACGTACGTGCACGGAAACGGGCGCTAGAAGCCCCGTGAGTATATGCACTTCCGGGCATTTTGCGAGTTGTAACAAGCACGCATAGAGGTGAGACAGGTATCTTTCAATTCTCCGTAATCAGATCTTTCAAACTTTATCTGGCTCATCTTTCTAGGACCTTCCTACACGAAGCTGTGAGCCAAAATGCACACGTCAAACCTCTACTGCGGTCTCAAAGAGAAAAGAGATACCTAACTATAAAAATATTTATAACTTCCTTCAGAAATAAGCCAGCTACTTCAAATTTCCAGGGTGTTATCAGTTGAGAGCCCACACAGAACATCAAAAATTTTGTGTCCCTAGCTCCTTCCTTCTATGAATTATGGGCAACCCATCACTTGTTTTAATAAAGGCCTGACCTTTTGACCTTTTGAATTTGGAGGGCCTGTTGACCCCCTTAGGAACCTTCCAAAGAGCTCAAGCTCACAGGTCCTGATCAGAACAAACCCCTGATCAGGATCTGTGAGTTTGGTGTCCCTCCTGCATTTTCCCAAGGATTTATGGGTAATTGGTGGTGAGAAAACACACCGCTCGTTAACTACCTTAGCGAGGTTGATCAAGCACCAAACTCACAGATCCTGATTGGCGCTACCCCCTGACCATGATCTGTGAGTTTGGTGTCCCTCCTGCATTGT